GATTTAGGCCATGAGTTATTTGGGTGTTTATGGCGTTAAGTGCTGTTGTTGTGCTGTGCACTTTACGAAATCCGTGCCGATGCTTCGCTGGGGTCAGGTGGCAGGTGAAGTATGGGAGTAGCAGGGCCTCTAGTGTCTTCGCGACCGGGGAAAGGAGCATTATCGCGCGATAAGGGTCTCCTTTGTTGGCGGGCCTCCCCGGTAACAGCAGTGGGACCACTCTCCCTGATTTCCACACATCAGGAATGATGAGATTGGCCATTGACAGGTTGAGGACCTCCGTTAGGTTAGCTACACCAGCAGGCCCCACATGTTTCAGCATCAACATACAGATTCCGTCAGGTCCAATGGCTTTGGAGGCTTTCGCCTTCCCGATAGCCCCCTTCACTTTACAGCAGGTGAAAACAAGTGATGCACTGTTTTTTGGCAGCTTGTGTAGCCTCCTGGTCGCTCGACGTTTGGCCCTGTCTACAGAAGGATGCAGTGTGAATTCCCTACTGAAATAGGTTGCGAATTTCTTCAGGTCTGACGAAGCGCGACCTTCGAATGAGATTTCCACTCTGTCATCACGCTTCGTTAGGCTAGACAAGGACCCCACGGTTAACCAGACCTTACTAACACCAGATGTGAAATTACAGGCCTTCAAGTGCTCCTCCCACTTTTTCCGCGCGCACCAAGTTTGGTAGAAATGGATATATCGGCTACTGAGTTACACATCTGAGATAATAAGTGGGCGGCGCCACGCCCATTATCCTAAAATTTTTAATAATCTAATTTTCCGCTAAGTCGTTATCGCAATCAAATTTTAGGTGAATTAGCCTTAGTAGTTCTTGATTTATCGCAGTTTTTATAAATTATATGGCAGATGCACGTAGTCATTGTCCAATTTCAAAGTTTTCAACAGATTTCTTAGCTAGACTCTAAGCAAGCCAAAAAAGATATTTGGTCACCGGAAGCTCCTGACATCAAGCCCTTAGCCATTTATAATAAAATATCGATAATTAGACATAAGGAGAGAAGAATATTAAGTTTAAAAGAGAGAACCTTTTTTAATTAGGACAAGTTTCACTCTCTCCTATAAAATTTAGGCACGAGGTTTTGCATTTTCTTGATGCACGGTTTTGTACTTTAAACGACGATATGTAGAAGTATTGCATACATATTTTGGTGCCTTTTCAAGTATAAAATCCACAGAGAAACGGAAGAAAACGGCATCCCTATGATTTCAACTTATGCCAAACGTTTCGTAAAGAAGCAATTCTGAACAAAAACTGTTTTTCTACAAAGATGTTTAAATGGAAGCATTACAAATATGGAAAAATAGCAATCCATAAGGTTTTATTGGCAGTAGGTCCCTTTTAAAGCACATTTAACAAAAAATAAGCTTCTAGTTTCGAAGCTAGTACCAAATAAAATTTTTTTATTTGTTGTTTACAAAAAAATACTTGCCAAGTATATAAGTCAAAATTGTTAAATATATATCGGTTTCATTAATTTCTTCATAGAGTTGGTGCTTCTTTTATAGGAAAATTCATACGGCTTATGAACAGGTTCATACCATGTAAATGCACCATAAGGGGCGGTGGGCGAAGGGTGAGGGGGCGTGGCACCTCTCAAATGCAATTGTTCTAATGTATTTTAGTCCAACACTACGGCAGCACTACGTTTTTGCCAACGAAATGCGTTCAAATATTAGCTCTGGCTGTGTTACAAGTTATCCTTTTTTTGTCGTCTGCGAACGCAAAAATTTGCAAAAAACTTGCAAAGTAGGGTAAAAAACAGCCAAAATTGAACGATTTAATTAAGCATTTTTAACTAGTAACTACTTGCTAGGTAAGCGCCTGCGTACTTTTTTGTATATTTCTCTCACTTAGGGCAAATGTTGGCTTACTCTCAGAAATTGGATTACTGGCAAATTACTAGATATTATTTTACTGAGGACTATAGAGACAAAGCCATTCTGAGAAGTATGGGAATATTGCCAGCGTTCACGTAATAACTCCAGTTGACTTTCAAGATGATCCCACTTTTCTGCCACAAGTTCCCTGAAGAGTTTTTCTATTTTAACCTCTATTATGTCGCTTCATTGTAACAGCAATACAACAACTGTAGCATAATATTTGCTAGCCAAGTAACATAGTTACATTCACGCTAATTTTTTTTTTTTAAGTTTCTATGCATGAAACACTCTCTTATCAGAATTGCAGTCCATTTGGAAAAGACAATTTTTTCTCCCATCAAAATATACCTAAAATTGCAAGCAAACGATTTATTCACGATTTTTAGAAAAATTTTCGAGTATTAAGTTTTCTAGCTCATTCAATTTTAGTAAAACAAAGTGCTAAACATTTTTTGTCGAGGGTGATGAGTATTTTCTTCCATATAACGTATGAACAAAATTTATTCTAAAAATCAACGGTAATTTTTAGGGACTTGAAACTTGCACCATATTGTGCTAAAATTAAATGGGCTACAAACCTGCATACTCGAAAATTTGAAAATTTTTAGTTTTTTTTGAGGTTTGATTAATTTTCGATAACTTTGCTTTAAGTCTTTTAATAGTGTAGCTTCCGTTATAGACCAAACTATAGCCGTAATCGATTCGCCACTTCGCTGCTTGCCATGTTTGAGTTCCGGTCGCTTAACGAAAAATTTTGCATGTGAAAGCAACAACAAAGTTAACTAGCACGGATAGACGATAGCAAGTTTGGTTGTACCCCATTAAGTTCGTTCATTTCGCCACTCGCTAACTGTGGGCGAATCGATGACGGCTTATATTTTAAATGAAAATTTTTAAAAATAAATTAAATAGTTATCTGAATAAGAAAAAATTTAGACAATTGGGGCTTCACACATTTGATTTCCGACAACCTCTTCCAATTTGTTGTGTGGAACTTAATGTTGCTCACAAACGGAATGCCCTACAGTTTGAAGCCGTTTTCTCCGTACATTCTCATGTTGCCATTGGCAAAAATTTATGTTGGCCCGGACAGGATTCGAACTTGCGCAGTACTTTTTTCTAATGGGTTGTCGGGTTATTGTATAGTCGAATGGATTAGTCCAGTTATTCGAATATGCAATTCGTAATAAGGACAACAACCATCTACAACAAAATGGGAAAAGTAGAAATACGAAACTTACAGTCCATCGTTGTCTAATCTTTATTCATCTTTTTTCGGTTACCTCACCATCTTTCTTTATCATAAAAAAAAATTACATAAGGGTAACACCATTCAAAAGCGATTTTTACAGTTTATTTACGACGGAAGGGAAGGTATTGAAGTATTAAAAGCTAATTGCATTCTGAAGTTGTGGTATAAAAAATGCAAGTGAAAATATTGAAAATTATTCAGGTAATTGCTTGCTGCCGATTTCATAAACCGTGCTTCGAGAAACCCCCTTTTAAAGTTTTTTCATGTTGTATAGGCGGCTCAGAGCACTCGGTTCAGAATGTTCGAAATTTCAGAGCGAAAATATCTTTTGCATGCATACAAATTGTATTTCCATGTTCAAAATCAGATTTGTTGTAATTGTCGATGTCTTAGCTGGACGATTATTTAAATCTAATAAACCAATTTAATAATCGCGTGAACAGTCACTAAAGTACCAATCGCTTAACCGAACAATTTTAAAATCCTATATAAACATATGTTACATAACATAATCAAAATTGCAATTTCAGTGAGTAAAACTCCTCCACAAAGGTTTTTCAGGTTTTTCAGCATTTTATTCAGGTAATACTTTCCATTTCCAGACAACAAATCGGTCAGTTACGGGTATGATTTTTAATTTCAATGAAACTGAATTATGTTTGTCGGTCCAATTAATGAGACCAGCATTTTTTTTTGGCTCGAAAAAATTGTTGGCTCTTTTGTGTTCTTTTTAGATAAAAATAATAATAAATAACGTTTTGTGGGAAAATTATTGACTACATTGTAGTATGTACCTCAAAAATGTATTTAAAAAAATAAATACAAAATCATCTCCGAAGGATAAGTGCTACTGAGGATTCACCTAAAAAGCGCCTATTTTCTTGTGAAAAAGTATGACAGAAAAAAATATATAGTTTTTGCATAATTTAACTTCGCAAAAATTTTCTTAAAAAAAAAATAAATCAAAAGTTTATAAAATAAAAACATTTAATGAAAAAACATATTGAAATTCAATAATGTTTCACAAAGTTATGGACATTTGAAAAAAAATTCCCTGATATCGAGTGTTATATAAAAAAAATAAATAGCTTATAAGCCGCCCAAAAAATATTTTTTAACCAAAAAAATGCGGGTCTCATTATTTGAACCACCGCTACAACATATTTCAGTTTCATCGAAATTAAAAATCATTCCCGTACCTGAGTGGTTGTCTTGAAATGGAAAGCATTAAGTTTTATTTTATTTTTAATTTTTATTTTATTTTTTGAGGGCTGAAATAATTATTCCACAATCAGGACAACGACTTTCAAAACATAGTTTAATAAACATGACAGGATCATATCGACTATTGATTTTAAGCAGAATTTTTAAATTGGTGCAGATATTACTATTAATTATGCCTACTAGGGTATCCTACGGATCTAATCCGAATCGCACTATCATAAAAAGGGAACGTGGATGATAAGATCCGTTCGGATGGCACCCGTCGGATACCGTAATAGGCTTGATTATTATTACAGACATTATGACGTTTAAAAAAGAATCTCGGAAAACTATTAATTGTTTATATTACTTATCGTTTATACATTCTTGGTATTTTTCTTTTGTAATATCAATGTATTGCATGAAATAAACTTTTTAATTATTTCTTAAGTTTCAGAACATATCAATTTGATTCAATTTCAAAAAGGCAATTACACGTTTTACACCGCAAGCAATATCATATATTTTCACATAAATTCGTGTTCCCAAAAACTAATAAACACACGGGTCGAATCGTTGTGCGCTGAATGTACTAGATATGTTTAAAATTTGCATGATTTACATTATATAAAAACGAAAACTTACCCATTTGTATATTTGGATTTTGCATTCGAGGACCACCTCCTGGACCAACGCCAGGTCCATTAGCAGCCATTAAATGTGGACTGGGACCACGTAACATATGTTGTCCGACCATTCTGCCCATCATCGGCCCATTTTGTAGACCCTGTGGATGACCGGGGCCGCCACCTAAATGCATTCCTTGGTTAGGACCCCCGACCGGACCCATATTTCCAACAGGTCCCACACCGCCTGGCCCTGCGCTCATCATACCGCCAGCTCCAGCGCCTATTTGTTGTTTCAATGTGTTCACCATTCCCGCATTGCCACCAAGACCACCCAAATTACTATTGGTGATCACCATACCTCCAATATTGCCTTGAGCAATTGTATTCATGCCTAAAGAGAAAAAATTATTATTTTGATTTTGAAGTGCATATAGTAAAACATTGTCACCAAAGTGAAATTCTATTATCCTATTTTCATAGTTTATTATCTACATGTTTCTGAATAATTAGATATAGTAAATAGTTTCAAATATATTTTAAAATGCTTATATGCTCCTATTAAATTAAGCTTTAAATGAGAAGAGTGTAAAGTAATTTTTTCTACTTTCCTTTGTTTTAGATATTAAAAACGACAAATACTGTTTTGAAATATATGAGTTGAAATTGTCTCAGTAAATATGTGTTTGCTTACTAAACCAATAAGTGGCTTTTAATTGATATAAGAATATATGATATATGAAAGTCTAATCGCTTACCGGGCATCGTATTCATTCCTTGAGCGCCATTATTAGAAATAGACATCGCCATCGAATTGACCATGCCCATTTGACCACCAACTACTTGCATGCCAGCTGCGTTTGGTGATTGCAAGTTAGGTGATTTACTACCCAATTGGTTCATTCCAGCTCCGCCCATAGGATTACCTATCATACCCATGTTCTTGTTACCCTGTAACGAGATGATATTATAATTTTTGCTGATGAAATCTGATAAGCATTAATATTACTTGTTGCTGCAATAATTGTTGCAGATGTTGATGATGTTGCATTTGACGTAAAGGATTACCGCCGACTTGATTGCCGCCCACACCAGTGGAATCTTCGCCGCCACCATTAATTTGCGGTCCACCTGGCCCAGGGCCTTGTGCAGGTGGTTTATTAGGACCGCCAACCACATTGACTCCAAGGCCAGATCCTGGACCGCCAGGTCCTCCACCGCTGCTAAGAGGATCTGGCCAATTGCTGTTACCAGTAACAAGTTCATCTGGCAGATCATCTTCCAAAACGGAGACGTAGTCCGCTGGAAAAAATAAAACAAATTAAAATATAATAAAACTTTTATACAGTTTTCAATTATCTTACTCGGATCCATTTTAGTCCGCTTTTGCGGAGGTTCATCCATATGATCTGCCATCATTCAGACGTCGTTGTTATGCTTCTTGTTTTGGTATTAAATAGCCTTATACGCGTATTATTATACGCACTTTTTCACTTGGTATAGGTATAGATGGGTTAGCTTATTTGCTGTTACAATTGTTATAAATTTTGCAATGAAAAGTCAAGTTTATTTGTAATAAGTTAATGATGAAAATAGATGAGTTTGACAAAGTTTGCAAACGCCGCTACATTTAGTGGGGGGACATAAGACTTTGCCACGAATTGTTTACTTATTTTCAAAACACCACCACTTTTCACTGTTGCAGATAGTTGCGCTGCACCAGGGGTGACATTAGAAGAAAGCTTTACAACTTTCCAAGCCTGGGTACCTTGCTTGATTCGGCTGGTTTCCTGAAGTTTTATTAGAAATGGCTGCACTCTTTGAAATCGCTTCCACGCAATTACAAAATTTTCCAACTGAATTAAAGTGTTTTTGCCGATTACGATTGAGTGCATTTTGTGTCAGAAGTCGCAAAGGTAGGCCGACCACTTTCGGCTTTTTATACCTTTTATTATAGTATACTTTCTATAGTTCTTCTCGCTTAAGGTGAATTGTTTGTGTTTCTTTTTTTTTTTAGTTACTGATGTAAATTTGTAAGCTAACAAATTCCCAGTTCACATATATCTCGTTCGTTTGTTTATTGGCACTTGACACTTTCCTGCTTTTGCAGTGATCGTTCAATCACCATTTTAAACGCCGACGATTATAACCATCAACATCTTTCGAATCAAACATTGTTTTTCTTCGAGTACATGTTTTTTGCGCCTTTTTTTGCATTAATAAATTTTCCAACGATATTTAATTGCACATCAACTGTAAATGAAGTAGAAGAAAGATTTTAGAATTTTTATATATCTATTTAATTAGAATCATTGATTTCGTAATTATTTTCATGTCCATATGATTTAAATTCGGAAATTGGTCTATTTGTTTGTTTCGATGCTTGATGCAGTAAGAGAACATAGTGAGAGTTGACCCTTTGTTTAATTTTGCTTTTACGTACACTAATTTTTTATATTTTTAGTGTATTAATTTCGTAATTTTACCAAGTTATTTTGTAAATATATGGCAGTGATCTCGCCCAATAAAATTTCCTCGAAATAATTAACTTAAAATGATCAGAGCTAAATGACAAACGGCAGATTTTCTCTTCGACTCGTTCACCTTTCTTTTCAGCCGACTGTCGACTGCCCGTTCACACTTTCGGCCAATTATTCGTTCATTCCATCAAATAAGCGAACATTAATTTGTCGCTAGTTGAAGCGTATACATATGAACGCTATTTCATTTAATGCGGGAAGAGGACAAACATATTGGCGCCGATAACTCGTTGGTTTAACAAACCGCACTCATTCGTTTCTTTCTTAACCACTCGTTGCTTTTCTACTGACGGACTTTTGGCTCTGCAAGACTCGACTATATGCTAACTTGTTCCTTCACAAACCGAGCGATTCACTCACAAAACAGTGTACGGAACGCGAATTGTCAGTGTGTTTCTCGCACCTATACACTTGCATGGTGACCGCCTCGGCCAACGAGTGCGAGCAGTATTGGAAAAAGAAAGAAAAACAGACAAGCAATGACTGAAATTTTTTGTCGCTAGTTTTCACGTCGTATCGAAAATTTCTATTTGCAGAATTTTTGTTTTATACAATTTTTATGATTAGAAAAAATCGCAAAAATTTTTGGAAAAAAACCGAAATTACAGAAAAAAATGTATATTATTACAAAAAAAATTTGGACATTTCGCTCACTTTAGATATTTGTTGAAAACATTGTATTTTGCCGGGCAAACTTTTTTCAATTAAAGTTCGTTTTTTTTTATTATTTTGGTTTTTATCTATATAATTTTTACATTTCTCTTGGATTTTTGACAATTTTTCAAATTCTTTTCGCAACAATAAAACTAAAATTCAGTCGGTTTGCTCCGCAGCAGTAAAAACTCAACTGAATTCGCGAACGAGTAACGACAGAACTAGGAAGAAAGACTGAAATTTTAAGTCGAGTGCGATTTTAGGAGAGTCGGTGAACAGCGCGATGCAAATGTTGCCGGCCCTATACGATTTGTCCCGGACAAAGAGTTGAGGGATTTTTCTTGCATACCGCCTTGATCGATTGGTACACTTTTTGCCATGAAAAAGTTTAAGTGCCAGTTATCTTTATACCATAAAGACCCATAGTTATAGTAAATTCAAGTTCTTAAAGTTAATTTTACTTTTTGTCAAATTTTCAGTGGGCTAGCTGTCAAAACCGCTGCAAATAATTTTGGGGTCGACTTTATTTTGACTTTAACTACTATGGCCTGTATTGTGGATTAGTTGTTCCAATAGTAAAATAAAAAATAAAGGAAATGCAATTTTACTTCAAAGTTTATTTATTTATGAAAATAAAAAAGTCCGTCTTTAAGTTTAGCAACATTACATACCCAAAAAAAAAATCTAACCTCAAAATTTCAAATCTCACTTAAATTTATTTTAATTAATCCAATGGGGCGTATGAAAAAAAAAACAAGGAATTGCTTTTTCTTAAAATTTCAGATCTGTCTTAAATTTATTTGAACAAAACAAGCAAAAGATCTGAAGTTTTAAGAAGTAATTACTTAATTTTTATTCATACTGCCCAACATTTTGTATATAAAATATAATTTTTTATCTACTCGAGATCTTTAAGATGACCTCAATAAGGGACAGAAAAGTGCCCAAGCGCCGAAACTACAAATTTTCAATTATTGGCACCACTTCTCATCGTAAAGCAAGTGAAGAAAAAATTGATACAAACTTCGGATATATTCGGTTCATGAACAATGACGACCCGATGGTTAAAAGAGACAGTATTTGAGTAATAAGCAACGAGTATGCCAGTGGAACATTCACACACATTTTACAGCTATAGTCGTATTCTTCTAACGCATTTCTCCCAAATTGGCACTCGATTTATTTTTATCACTTTACTCTTTCTCTATCTACCTTTTCGATTTTGACATAAATAAGTGAACAGCGAGTATCAAGATACGAATTTTTATGCATATACTCGCTTGTACACACACAGCGAACGTTTCCGAATCGTATGAGCAGTAAATCAACGAGTTCTAGAAGATATTTATAATGCTATTAATACACTTAATTACCCCATTTCGATGCAGTTAACGCATAGTAAAATGCGTAAAATACACTGCAGAATATAGTTAAGTCAAATTATTTTCGTCGATCAGAATAAAGTTTCGCACAAATAATATTCATAGTTCTTGGGCATTGCAACGAGCTGCGAAAAATCACGACGAATTATGTATAAAGATGCACTCACGCTTACGAACTCGCCCGAGAGAAAATCGAACCGAAATCGTAACAGAGCGCGACAAGAAATACCAATATTTTTCGAGTTCTTTCTACTTAAGAATTCACATATTATTTAAGCTATACGCTGTTTACATAAAATGCGCCAAATAATTATTATTTTAATAGATTTGAACGTGTATTTAATTCTATTTATCTGAGCACTATCGCCACTTACACTGCAATGCCACGACCATGTTCGCGCACACACTAACAAAATGGCGGATCTACCCAATGGCCCTGCTAGCCACAAGTAAAACAGAGATGTCCATATAAGTATAAATTACAAGAGTTGCCACACTTGCCACAAAATTGAATGCGTTAAAACTAAGAGTGAACTGTAAATGAATTTGAAATAATGCTTAGTTGATTTTTTAATGAAATTTTAATAGAATCCTAACAAGCATTTCTGTAAGAGTACAACTCCACAACAAGCTATTCAGACTTTCAGCAATGGCTGAATTATGTAGCTGAAAGTCTGAGAAGGTCTTTGAGGAATTGTACTCTTAAGTGTTTTGAAAAGTAACTTAAAGTAAGCGTGCTATATTAAATACGCGTTTTTAGTATTAAGTTTATTTAAAGTTTTTCAAATTAACCTTTTATAAGCGTTGACATCGAATATTTATAAATCACTGACTTTAAAAGTAAAATGCTAGTATTTACGACAAAACCAAGAAAAGATACTTTCCTTTTAAAACTTATTATAAATTTATATTCATACGCTTATAAATAAGGTGCCGTTTCGATTACATTACGCCTTTTTTTAAGCGTTTTATAAGTCAAGAATAATCGTTGTTTAAAAAACCTACTCTAAGTTTATTTTGCTTGTTGGGATTAAACAAAGTCTCACTTTTATACATAGTGCGCACCATAAGGATAAGGTCGCCATGTCTCTCGTTTAATAATATAGAGATGTAACTCAAAACTTACGTTTTTGGAGATTTAATTATGCACTTAATAAGGTTGATAAGTAGAATATGTTCAGTCTAACAGATAACCAAACTTCACAAATATGGCGAAGATATATGTCTTTCCCAAAAAAATTTAAATTTTGAAATGCTTCGTTATATTATAAAACGTGCGGTGTATTTGTAAGTGTTGACTATTTATTTAGGTTTTTATATTAAGTTTTATTAATTCCTTATAAAAATATATAGTTCATTCTATAATAAAAACCATATAAATCCAAATCTTCAAATTTTGTACAGAACTTAAAAAAAAAACAACAAGGTTTCACACTTTTTAGCGAGAGCTTTAAGAAAAGTTTTATAGCCCATTCGATTCTAGTAGTATAATAAACTGGCTACAAAATACCGTTGATTTTTGCAATTTTTTTGTTTATGAAAATTGTGGAAATGTGTAAAATTTTAATCAATCTTTGTTGACTTTATTTTTGTACAAAGTTTGAAAATGTATTTATAGGATCTTTGATATAGAATGAGTTATGTTGTCATAAAAAAATTAATTAAAATAAATAATACAAAATAAATGGTCAAAACTTATCAATATAGGGCGAACCATATCATTATGTCCGGCACTATATCTATGCATATTATATGTTTAGCTTGAATAAAGTTTTGTTTTCGTTCGAGAAAAAAGTTTGCGCTTTCCCAATGCAAGTATGCACAGTATGTATATGGGGTCTACTGGCAACACTTAAAATTCTATTTACAAATAACCACCCTGTGCGAAAGTGGTAGGGCCGGTTGTTCAATGGTTGATTAGCACTAATCGGAGATAGAAGCTCTGGTTAAAAGCAATGACTGCTTTATCCATCATATGTTATAAGCATGATGTCGATAACGTCGATAATGATGTTTATCCGGCAAGTAGTGATAACCAGACATTGAACAACCGGCCCTCAAAGTTCTCCCATTTTATGCATGATGCAATAATACAAGGTGGTATCAGTTGTGACAACTCGATTTAACACTGCCTTAGCTCAGTAGAATAAGAAGAAAAACGGGAAGAAATGAATCCCTATTTGGGGGAAAAATATAAAATTTAATATTTTCTTCTTAACAAAACTTGCTTTTTTATAGTATATTCGTAATGAAATGAAATGAAATAAAATAAAATACATTTTTGAGAAAACAAAATGTGTATACTGAGAAAAAATAAAAAAATGTCAACTATTAGGCAAATTGTAAAAGAAGTAACACTGTTTCACTTAAAGCAGTCAATATAGCGGAATTAGAGCGAGAAGTTGTCACCTGATACCACCTTCTATTATTGCATCATGCATTTTATGTGTTTCTTTGCAACAAAGCAGAAAACCGGATACGGAATTAGAACTTATTGACGCAAAAAGTGGGAAATAAAACGCTGCCAGTGCCATCTAGTTGTCATTGAATTGCAGGGTGACAAGTTTAAATTTTTCCAAACTTCCATTAAATTCCAAAGGTTCCTACCTTGGTTAAGCGGTCAGTCCAGACCACTACCGGCAAACAATAAAGCATTCATCCGAAAATATTTTTTGTACACTGCGCGCCCCATTTATAGCTTATATCTATGTATTTTCTTCTTTTACGTGTTCGGACTCTTCAAACTCGATTCAGAACTAAATCGCTTAAAAAATCGGCCAAAAACAAATTTTCGATACTAGATTTGCATTATTTATTTCGCTTTCGACATTAATTGAATGACTTAAATAATTTCGATACACACAAATATAAGAACACGAGGCAAAGTAAGGATACACATTTAGATTCTACCTTATACAAATTTCTTTCTACACAAATTAAATTAAGTTCTGCATCCACCAAGTTTTACATCAATGAATCAAAATAAAACGAAGTTACTTTATCGACTAATTTCTATGATCGAGTTTATTTTTATGACTGAGATTTTGCTTTAAATTGTTTACTGTAACTGGGGTGAGAGGAGCAGAACATGAGTGAAAAAACGGAAGAGATATGAAGTCAAGCGGAGTAGAGGAGTCGATTTGCAATTTTTTCAAAAGCCAAAGTAAATTTAATCTTATCGGAGCTGGAGTCCGAACACTGGTAGGGCACCAATATTTTTTTTAATTTTGACGCTTATGACCCACAGATGGCGAGACAACACAGGGTTATATCAGACTTTTGAACAGATTTTTGAAGTCAGTCAGTCAGGCAGAGGAAAGAAAGGGTGTTTAAAAAAAAAGTTCATTAAAAGAAGTAAATCGTCTTATCGGAGCGGATTCCGAACACTGTTATTGAATGTATGTTTCCAATTTTAACACTAATGACCCACAGATAGCGCGATAAACGCAGGCTTTTTGACTTGGCTACGGAAAAAAACGCTTGCAAAGGGTTGCAAATTTGCAGGGTGCACGTGATGATTATTTTTTTTTCGTCATTCGAAAAATTTGTTTGATGATGCATATCCGAACATATTTGCAATTTGCAGGTTTTAAATTTAAACATTTTCAAATTAATTGCTATTTTGAGTAAGCAATTTTATAGCCATCAAATTTTAGTATAATTTAGTAAAAGCTTTAAGTAGCTACACTGCCTAGGTTCAAGCCCATTAAGGAGGGGATGAAGGCGAAGGCGCGATACAAGGCAGCCCTCAAAGTTCATGAGAGACTCCGCCAAAAGTCCAGTCTGACGAAGGAGGAGGAAGAACGACTGGCTTGGGCTAAGTCGGAAATGGAAAGTGGGC